GCATGATTGCAGTTCACTACAGCATTGACTTACTGAGTTCAAACAGTCTTCCTGCCTCAGCTTCCTGTGTAGCTGAGACCATTGGTGTGTGTCACCATGCTGGGCTAAATTTTAGATTCTTTGTAGAGACAGTGTCTTTGTTGTCCAGGCTGATTTCGAACTCCTAGACTCAAACGATCCTCCTGCCTCATTCCTCCCAAAGTGCTGGGACTGCAAGCATGAGCCACCACACCTGTCCAAAGTGTGTTTATTGTAGGCATCAGATCATTGGGTCTTTTTAAAAATTCATTTTGCCACTCTCATTCTTTTGATAATCAGTGTTCTTATTGATAAGTAAGGACTTATTCCTGCCTTTTGTTATTTTTTTTCTGGTCTTCTCCTTCCTTCTTTCCTTCCTGTATTCCTTTTTTGTGAAGGTGATTTACTTTGGTGGTATAATTTCTTGTTTTCCATTTTTTGTACATCGTTAAGTTTTTAGATTTGAGGTTACCATGAGGCTTGCAAATATCATCTCACAACCCATTATTTTAAACTAATGACAACTTAATACTGACTGCAAAAACGAACAAGCAAAGAGAAAACTAATACTTTATGCTTTCACTTTATACCCCTTGCATTTTTAACTTTTTGTTGTTTCTTTTTTTTTTTTTTTTTTTGAGACGGAGTTTCGCTCTTATTGCCCAGGCTGGAGTGCAATGGCGCGATTTGGGCTCACCGCAACCTCCGCCTCCTGGGTTCAGCTCCTGCCTCAGCCTCCTGAGTAGCTGGGATTACAGGCATGCGCCACCATGTCCAGCTGATTTTTTGTATTTTTAGTAGAGATGGGGTTTCACTATGTTGACCAGGATGGTCTCGATCTCTTGACCTCGTGATCCACTCGCCTTGGCCTCCCAAAGTGCTGGGATTACAGGCGTGAGCCACCGTGCCCGGACTTTTTGTTGTTTCTATTTATATCTTTTTATATTGTCTTTATCTTGAAAAGTTATTGTAGTTATTATTAATAGGTTCATCTTTTAGTCTTTCTACTCAATATATGAGTGGTTTATACGTCATAGCTACAGTGTTACAATATTCTGTGTTTGTCTGTGTACTTAATTATTACCAGTGAGTTTTGTACCTTCAGACGATTTCTTTTTGCTTTTTTAACGTCCTTTTCTTTCAGATTGAAGAACTCCCTTTAGCATTTCTTGACGGACAGGTCTGGTGTTGATGAAATCTCTCACCTTTTGTTTGTCTGGGAAAGTATTTCTCTTTCATGTTTAAAGGATATTTTTCCTAGATATACTATTATAGGATGAAAATCTTTTTTTTCCTTCATCACTTTAAATATGTCTTGCCAATTTCTCCTGGCCCACAAGGTTTCAGTTGAGAAGTTTGCTGCCAGATGTATTGGAGCTCCACTGTATGTTATTTGTTTCTTTTCTTTTGCTAGTTTTAGGCTCCTTTCTTTATCCTTGACCTTCAGGAGTTTGATTATTAAATGCCTTGAGGTATTCTTTGGGTTAAATTTGCTTGGTGTTCTATGACCTTCTTGTACTTGAATATTGATATCTTTCTCTAGATTTGTTATCATCTCTTTGAATAAACTTTTCACCCCAGCCTCTCTTTCTGCCTCCTTTTTAAATTCAATAACTCTGAGATTTGCCTTTTTGAAGCTATTTTCTAGATCTTATAGCCATTTTTCATATTTTTCATTCTTCTAAATTCTTTATTTTGTCTCTTCTGGCTATATTTTCAAGTTGCACGCTCACTAATTCTTTCTGTTGCTTGATCAGTTTTCTGTTGATAGACTATGTCCGTTGAATTTTTCAGCTCCAGAATTTTTTTTTTTTTTTTGAGACAGAGTCTTGCTCTGTGGTGTGATCTCAGCTCACTGCAACCTCTGCCTCCTGGCTTCAGGCATTTCTCATACCTCAGCCTCCTGAGTAGCTGGGATTACAGGTGCACACCACCATGCCTGGCTAATTTTTTGTATTTTAGTAGAGACAGGGTTTCAACATGTTGCCCCAGCTGGTCTTGAACTTTTGAGATCAAGCAACACATCCACCTCAGCCTCCCAAAGTGCTAGGATTACAGGTGTGAGCCACTGTGCCTGGCCGCTCAGCCCGAGTTTTTTTTTCTCTCTTTTTTTCTCTTTTTTAAAGTCAACCAGTATATCTTGAAGCCGTAGAATTTGATTTACTTTTTAAAATTATTTAAATCTCATTGTTAAATTTTTTCTAATAGGATTCTGTGTTCCTTCTCTCTTTTATCTTGAATTTCATTGAGCATTTTCAAAATAGCTGTTTTGAATTATCTGTCTTAATGGTCACTTATTTTTGTCACTCTGGAATTGGTCACTGGTGCCTTATTTAGTTCATTAGGTGAGATCATGTTTTTCTGGATGGTCTTGATGTTTGTGGATGTTCATTGATGTTGGGTAAGAGTTAGGTACTATATTCAATGCAGTCTGGGCTTGTTTGTACCTGTTCTTCTTGGGAAGGCTTTCCAAGTATTCAAAGGGAATTTAGTTTTGTGATTTAAATCTTTGGTCACTGCAGCCATATCTGTATTAGGGGCAGCCCAAGCTCAGTAATGCTGTGACTCTTGGAGACTTGTGCAGGTACTGCTTTGATTGTCTTGAGTAAGAACTGGGAAACCTCCCTGGATTATCAGGCGTAGTCTCTTCTTTTCCCTAACTTTTCACCAAACAAATGGAGTCTCTGCTGAGCTGCCTGGAGCTGGGGGAAGGGCGATGCAAGCACTCCCTTGGCTACCACTACTAGGACTGTGCAGGTTAGACCCGGAGCCAGTATGGCACTGGGTCTCGCCCAAGGCCTACAATGACCACTATCCGGGCTGTCACTAACGTTCACTCAAGGCCCAAGAGCTCTTCAGTCAGCAGGTAGTGAATCCAGCCAGGCTTGTGTCCTTCCCTTCAGAGCATCAAGCTCCCTGTCCCACTCCCCCCCCCCTCCCCCCCCCCCCGCCCAGCCCAGGGCAGGTACAGAAATGCCACCTGGGAGCCAGAGCCTGGAGTCACAAATCTTAGAAATTGACTTTATGCTCTATTCTGCTGCAGTTGCATTAGCACCCAAACCACAAGACAAAATTCTTTGCACTCTTCCTACTCCTTTGCTCATGTAGGAGTTTTCTGTGGCTACCACCACTCCAGGCCCATAGCAAGTACTGCCTGGCTACTGCCAGTGTTCACTAACAGACCAAGGGCTCTTCATTCAGTGTTTGGTGAGTGCTGCCAGGCCTGTTCTCTCCCCTCAGGGCAGCAGGCTTTGCTGTGGCCCATCCTGGGTCCAGAAATGCTGACCAAGACCCAAGCCCTGAAATCAAGGACCCCAGGAGCCTGCCTCGTGTTTTACCCCACTGTGACCAAGCTGGTGCCCAAGTTGCAAGACAGAGTCCTCCTTACTCTTTCCTTTCTCTTCCTTAAGCAGAAGGAATCACTCCTTGGAGCCACCACAGCTGAGAACGTGCTGGGTCACACCCAAAGCCAACAGGACCCTGGGTCTCACCCAAGTCCTTCAGCGAGTATTGCCTGGTTGCTGCTTATGTGTATTCAAGACCCAAGGGCTCTATAGTCAGCAGATGATGAATCATGACAGGACTATATCCTTTCCTTCAAGGCAATGGGTTCCTTTCTGTCCCAGGCTATCTAGAAGTGTTGTCTGAGAGCCTGGAGTGGGCACTTCAGGACTCTGCCTGGTGCCTTATTCTGTTATGGCTAACCTGCTATCCAAGTTCCATGACAAAGTCTTCTTAACCTCTTTACTCTTTACTCTCCTCTCCCCAAATGGAAGGATGGAGTCTCTCCTAGAGCTTTGAGCTGCGCTACCTGGGGTTGGGGAAAGGGTAGTACAAGCATTCTATTGGCTGTCCCAGCTGGTATCTCACTGGGTTGCATGCACACGAAGTCCACTGTCGTTCAGCCCAGCACCGTACCAGCACTTGCCTAAGAATTGCAGTCCTTGTGGCCTAGATTGCCTTTCAAGTTTATTTAGGACCCCAGAAGGCTTTAACCTGTGGTGGTAGGATAGCTGGAATGCAGTTTCTGACTGCTGGGCTGGATGATAGCCCTTTGCCTAGGGCTGGTCTAAATGTTCCCTCCATGGGCACCAGCTGAATTCTGCCCTATATTGCTTTCCACTGTGACAGGGCAGCATCAAGTTTCAATGCAAAGTCTCACAATCACTATGCTGTCTCCCAAGCACATTGATACACTGTGTCCATGCCACGTGGCTGCTGCGGGAAATGTGAGAGGGGTGGTGTTGTCAGTTCAAGACTATCTGTCCTACCCTTTTCAGCGTCTTTCCTTGATAAGAGTTTAAAACAAGGTACTATGTTTACTCACCTGATTTTTGGTTCTTACAGAGTTGCTTTCTTGTGTAGATAGTTCAATTTGTTGTTCCTTCTAGGGGCGTGATTACTAGAGGTTTGTATTTGGCCATCTTGCTCCAATAACCTAAATATGATTTCTGTAAAATTTTTTGCCAGGTCTGATGATGACAGCTTAGTGCCAGCTACTCACAAAGCTGAGGCAGAAGGATTGCATGAGTCTAACATTTTGAGTCCACCGTGGGCAGCATAACGAGATCCCCATCTCTAAAAAATAAAAATAAGTGTTTAAGTAGTTTATGAATTGTCAATAAATGTGAAGTACAGTCAGCCCTCCAGGTCTGTGGGCTCCACATCAAACAACTGTGGATCAAAAATTATATTTTAAAAATTTTATTTATTTATTTATTTTTAGAGACAGGGCCTTTGCTCTGTGTACCAAACTAGAGTACAGTGGTATGAGCATATCTCACTGTAACCTAGAACTTTTGGGCTGAAGTGATCTTCCCACATCAGCCTCCCTAGTAGCTGGGACTAGAGGATGCATCACCACACCCAGCTAATTTTTAAATTTTTTTGTAAAGATGGCATCTTGGTATATTCCCCAGGCTGGTCTTGAACTCCTAGGCTCGAAGTGCTGGGATTAGCTCAAAGTGAGCTACCATACCTGGCTTAAAAGTATTTTTAAAAAATGTATGGTTATGAGTGTACTGAGCATATACAGACTTTTTTTTCCCCTTGCCATTATTCCCTAAACAATATAGTATAACAACTATTTACAGAAGAGTTATATTGTATTAGGTTTTATAAATAATCTGGAGATGATATAAAGTATATGAAAGGATGTGCATAGGTTGATATGCAAATACTACACCATCTTATATAAGGGACTTGAGCATTCATGGATTTTGATATCTGCAAGTGGTCCTGGCACTAATCCTGCACAGATACTGAGGGATGACTGTATCACTCTTAAAAATAATAATAGTAATTATCTTATACTTGGAATGTAATAGATGCTAAATTAGAGTATGTTTCATTACTCAAGAATATCTAATGTTTTTGCTACTAATACTCTTCCTTTGATCTGACCAAACTGGTGAGTATGTGCTTAAGGCAAGGCCAGAAATGGGTTTTCATCCCCTTGTCCATAGTGATCAGTCCAGGTATGCACAGTGATCCAAGCTGTCCTTCCATAAACTTTTCAAAAATTAGAGCTGGTAGAGAAGACTGTTGCTTCTTTCATGAGGGAGTTAACAAGGATGAAAGTCTGGAGCTATTTCTAGATGTGTTACCGTACTGGAGAAAGTTGTGGAAAGAATGAGGCAATGGGATAGCACCAGACATCATGAATAGGATAAAGAGACAACCACAGGCCATCATGGTACTCTGGTCTGTGGATTCTCTCTACATTGAGATGAGCTTTGCCCCAGTCTTTGAGTAGTTTAGCCATTATCAGCTAAGTAATTCCCCGTTTGTTGAAGCAAGTTTGAACTGGATTTTTTTATGAACCCTAACAAAAGCATGGAGGTAGTATAGTATGTATATATGAACACATACTAATTTTTAAAGAAGTAATAGTATATTAAAGGTTTTTGTTAATTGCCCCCCCCGCTTTTTTTTTTTTTTTTAAAGGCAGGGTCTCACTCTGTTACCCAGACTGGAAGGAGTGGCACAATCACCGTTCACTGCAGCCTTGACCTCCTCTGCTCAAGCAGCCCTCCCACCCTAGCCTTTCAGCCTGTGCCTATAGCTAGGACTATAGGCACGTGCCATCATGCCCTGCTAATTTTTTTTTTTTTTTTTTTTTTTTGTAGCAGTAGAGTCTCACTCTGTTGCCCAGGCTGGTCTTGAACTCCCTAGGCTCAAGTGATCCTCCCGCCTCGGCCTCCCAAAGTGCTGGGATTATAGTCATGAGCCACCTTACCTGGCCTTAATTGTTCTCTTAAATTGAACATTTCTGTATCTGTTAAAATGGAAAAACACCATTAATAGTGGTCAATTTTCCTTTGCATTTTTGAGAATTATGTACCTACATTTACTTGCTCTCTTCCTTATTCTTTGCCTTAATTTCTTTATTTTTAAATTTTTATTTATTTATTTTTATTATTTGCTTTAATTTCTGACACAAATATTTCCTTAGCTTACGTTATCCTTTATCTGGGATCCTTTGAAGTACTTTGTTTTCATGGCAAAGAGGGGTGTTTTAGGAAGGAACAAAACAGGCTGGGCACGGTGGCCCATGCCTGTAATCCCAGCACTTTGGGAGGCTGAGGTGGGTGGCTCACGAGGTCAAGAGATTGAGACCATCCAGGCCAATATGGTGAAACCTCACTAAAAATACAAAAGTTAGCTGGGCGTTGTGGCGTGCGCCTGTAGTCTTAGCTACTTGGGAGGCTGAGGCCCGAGAATTGCTTGACCCGGAAGGCAGAGGTTGCAGTGAGCCGAGATTTCGCCACTGTACTCCAACCTGGCAGCAGAGTGAGACTCCATCTCAAAAAAAAAAAAAAGGAAGGATAAAACAAATGATGCATTAAAATGTGGATAGAATAGATAACTATAAAGGCAGATATAGTTTCAGTTATGTCTTACACGTAATTCTACGTGGTAATTTTGAGGAATGCATTATACTATGTGGTGAATTTTCTCGTTATCTTTTTTTAAATGATCAAATTTTTTTTACTTTTGACTCTTTCCAAAAGTCTTTTAACACTGCAAATAGAGTAGAAATGACCATTTTCTAATGTTTTCGTGATTTGTGGTTGTTATTGTCTATTATGGCTTTGGTTTATAATACATTATGTTATATCTGTCCTTCGTTGTTGTTAAAACCCATGCTCTGAATGAAGAGACCCCCCACAAACAGGCTTTGTGTGAGCAACATGGCTGTTTATTCACCCAGCTGCAGGTGGGCTGAGGCTGAAAGGGGCATCAGTGGAGGGCAGTGGGATAGGAGTTGGTTTTATGGGTTTGGGGTGGGCAGTGGAAAATTACAATTTAGGGCGGTTTTTACAAACTGGGAGCAGGTCATAGGTTTGCAAGGTGGGAGGGGTCTTAGGGGGTGGAGTCAGGAGGTTTATCAGGGTTGGTTACAAAGTCCAAGATGGCTTTATCAATTAGGGCGGGAATAAGGAACAATAGAGAATGTCTCAAAGTCAAATAGGCACTGCAGGGGTTGATCATTTCTTCCCCTTTTCATGGTCTTCCAGTTACTTTAGATTTTCCAGCAACTTATCTGGAGTGTCCCTGCAGGTCACTGAGGTTAACATGGCCTCCATGCCACCATCAGTCAGCCTAAAATACCTTACAGTTGTGTGAGTTCTCAGTTTAGCCTTATCTTGGTTTGTTGTTTAATCAGTTTGTAGAATTCCAGCACTTTGGGAGGCCAAGGTGGGTAGATCACTCGAGTCCAGGAATTTGAAACCAGCCTGGCCAACATAGTGAAATCTCATCTCTACTAAAAATACAAAAATTAGCCAGCTTTGGTGGTGCATGCTTGTAATCTCAGCTATTTGGGAGGCTGAGGCAGGAGAATCGCTTGAACCTGAGAGGCAGAGGTTGCAGTGAGCCGAGATCCTACTGTTGCACTCCAGCCTGGCTTACAGAGCAAGACTCCACCAGCAAAACAAAACCAAACAAAACAATAATTTTAGGTAAATAAATTACATTGTTCTAAAGTAAAAACCTATTCTGAATAAAGCTCTTTGGGTGAAAAGTCAAGTACTACTCCAATGAACTGATTTTGCTGACAGCTCTTTTGATGATTCAGAAGCCCTGATTTCTTTCTGCTTTTTTGTGTTTGTTTGTTAGTTGTTGTTGTTGTTATTATGGTTGTTCCTTTGTTTTTATTTTGCATGAGGCTACAACTGTTTAGGCTACCTTTTGCTAGAACCTAACCTTACTGAAGAATCAGAAATGCAGAAAGGGAAAGATTCCTTAGAAATTAATCTTCTATTTTCTTTATTTTACAGATGAGAAAACTGAAACATTGAGAGAGAAGGGAATCTAAGGTCTTGGTTTTTTTTCTTTTTTCTTAGTCCAGAGATCTTGTCAACTGTACCATGAATTTATAGAATTTTATATTTAGAACTAGCAGTATGTTTACTTAATGGAGATTGCACATTCAACTCTCATTGGTAAACAAAATGGAAAAATAGAAAAAAATACCTTGCATTCTTCCCAAGCAGTACCTTTTTAGGCTTCTACACAGTTTTGTTTTATGAACTTCTCCTGAGTGTAAAGGTACTGACTTCATAAAAACAATATCCGTAGAAAATTCTTTAAGGTTTTTGAGATGTCTTTTTACAGCTTTAAGGCACTATAATACATACACTTCTAAATTCTTAGCATTTATTTTATATTTGTTCACTTAGAAGTGTTTGGTAATACAATGTTTTTGGTTTTTGTTTCGCAAATACCTTCAAGAATAGGAATTTATACATAGTATACAACTTATTTGAAATACTGCAGTCATTTGCTTATGACTTTTTGTGAATAAATGACATAGTTTTTCCATTAAAAGGAAACACTTATTTGCCTGTAGCCAGATACAGCACCTAAAAATTAAAGTAGTAGTTTACACAGGTATGAGGAGGTCCAAGAAATGATGGTATTTGAATAGAGGAGAAGTTCTTTATTGAATAAAGCTTCTTATACCTATGTTGTATTGGAAAGAAAAATATTTTATGACATACTGGAAAACTAGCTTCTAACCTTTTTTAAATTTTTTGATGAATAGGTTTAAAACAGAGATGTTTGTCAGTGATATAATGTTTGCCAGTTATATTCCATGTGTCTTGCAGTTTATTTTTAACCATAGCAACAGACATGATGGTGAAATAAATTAGTAGATTACCATTGGCAGCCTAAAATTAGGTAAATGTTCCAACTTTGAAAGGCCAGGGAGTGACTAAAACACTGTTGTTAACCTGCTATATGTTTACAGTTCTACAAAGAATGACATTTATAAATGCTGTTTAACAGGTTAACTTAGAAGCTAAATTGCTCTTTGCCCAATGGACCATAGAGTTTATTCAAATAAAAGCTGTTGATTCAGCACCAAGGATTGATTCACAGAGAATAAAATGCTGAAGGTATACAACCTAAAAGTTTCCCATTTGAACTTCTGTCCTGAGTCAGTATTCTTATTAGGATATGTTTTGCCTGGTCATTTTAAGTGAAATCTGGCATTAGTTTGCTTTCTATTTTGGATGTCTTTTTCTCTACCCCTGTGTTGGATTTGAATTACTGATAAAGAGCTCTGGTTTACCTAGTTTGTGGAAAAGGGGGTAGTGTAGTCTCCAGTCAAATAAGATAGTATATAGAGAGCTAGTTAGTAAGGTAGCCTTATTAAAATGTACTTCTTTTAGAGCTTTGAGGAATCAGAGGAATGAAGTCCTATTTTTCCAATCTCAAAATGGTAGGCAGCAGGATGTATTTCTAATTACTGTTGTTTTGTCCACTGTGACACTTTATTATACAGTTTATTTTTCTTTAGTGGTAGAAAACCATGGAGAAAATTACTAGGTAGAACATCTTACATTAATTTCTTATAGGGAAAATTCAGTACATTTAGTTTTACCTATAGAGATTGATTTTTAGGTTTCAAGATTTTTTTTCTTCCCTCCCCACCTCACCTGGTCTCAGTGTAGTTACTAGAGCTAAAGTTTATTACACATAGATTATTAAAGACTTTTTTGTTTTTAAGTAAGACTTTCTCTTTCCAAAAAATAATATCCTGATAGGATTTGCACTCATTTATTGTTAAATAAACATTTATGATGGGTCCACTATATCAGGCACTGAGATAGGTTCTTATGCTGTCACTCAAGCTGGAGTGCTGTGGCACAATCA